AGTATGATCCCGGGATACGCACTGGCACGCTCTGCTCTGTAGGCTACATGCATTGCTCAAAAGCAAATGTAAGGGTATCTACAACCCACTATAATACCTGTGATCCACCTCCAAAATTAGACATCGAAAACAATAACATCACCCCGGAAAATGACCAACACACAATGACGACGCTACCTCATAAACGTCGAATAAATTTCCAAACACATTGGTTGATGCTGTCGACCGTCGGAAACGGACGATGCTCCTGTCGAGCCTCAAAAACTCCTTCGAAAGAAGGTCCGTGGCCCGTGCTCTTGGCACTCTCGTCCTATTCTGCGAACCCCCCAAACACAAATACGACCATGAATAACGTGTACTTGACAGAAAGATCGGAACGGCTACTGATATGAAGAGGGAACAACAACGTGCCCGAACAGCAAGTAGGTTGGTGTTGCCGGTTCAAGAGAGAGGCGGCCGTACCCAGCAGTTGCAGCGGATCGTGAACACACCCTTGTCATCGACCGGATAGGGTTGGACTACTTGCTGGGGTCTTGCGGGGATGAATGAAGCGTCTATACGCAAAGAAGGAAGCATGGTTTCAGGACTAGCCTCTTTCGTGATTTTCTCGAATACACGGAAGGCAGAGAGAAGCCCCGCTCACCTACACTGGCTCTCAGACAAACACTGCTGTACACCAGAAAAAATAAGAAGCGTTTTCTCGAAAACAGAAAAAACATGGACAGTAGCCTCTCTCGCCTACACTGGCTCACAGGCAATTAGACAAGAACAAAAGAGAAGGGAGAGATTTTCTCGAAAAACACCGACAGAAGCCTCTCTTGCCTACACTGGCTCCCAGACAAAGCGACAAGACAAAATACGCATATAGCGCTTCCTCGAAAACACGGGCAGAATCCTCTACTGGCTTCCAGACAAAGCAGTTGACAACAAACAGAGCAGCAGCAGGGTGTTCTTCAAGGTTCTCACCGGCTACTGCGGTAGGAATAGGCGGAAGCGGCTTCGCCTGGGCCCCAGCACCGGCCCCAGCGCCGGCAGCAGCACCGGGGGCACCGCCACCGCCTCCTGCGACGGACCAAGGTCCCCACCGTCCTCTACCCGCCGGGGCCCCCGTCGGGGCCCCCGCCGGCGCCGCCGGTTCCGCTACTGCGGGGGGGGCCTGCGGTGCCTGAGCAGCGGTCGGGCCTCCATAGTAGCCACCCTGCTGGGGAGGCGGGGGTCCCGAGCCCCCGGGGGGGTACTGGGCCTAAACATCGGGGGGGGGGGGGGGGGGCCCGGACCCTTATTTTTCGGGCCTTTGGGGTTAAAACAATTTTCCTGGCAGG